GTGTCACAGCTTACAGCAACCTCCATCTCCTGGGCTTAGGTGATTCTCTTGCCCTAGCCTCCCAGGTAGCTGGGATTACAGGCGCCCGCCAAAACACCCAGCTATTTGGCTGGGGCTGGGTTTGAACCCATCACCCTCGGTATATGGGGCTGCTGCCCTACTCACTGAGCCGCAGGCCCTGCCCAATCAATTAATTTTTTTAAGATCATGCTCTGTTGTCCCAGGCTAAAGTGTCCTGGCATCAGCCTAGCTCACAGCAACTTCAAACTCCTGGGTTCAAGCAATTCTCCCATTTCAGCCTCCCAAGTAGCTGGGATGAAAGGTATCTGCAACACCTGGCTATTTTTTCTATTTTTAGTATAGATGGTGTCTTGCTCTTGCTCAGGCTGGTCTTGAACTCCTGAGCTCAAGTGATCCTCCCACTTTGGCCTTCCAGAGTGCTAGGATTATAATAGATGTGAGCCACCATGCCCACCCAAACTGTACAATTTTAGATCATTATTTTTCATCAAGTTATTTTTTCTTGGACAGTTTAACTCTGAAAAGAATGTTCTAAAACATAGTATAAGATTTTCATTTACATTAATTGCACACCTAGTATTTATTACAAATGTTGATTTTTAAATTTATATTAGACTGTCCAAACAGTACCCTCTTGGCTGTCAGGAACTTCAACTCCTGTGAATCTTGACACAGAACTTCCTGAACATGTGTTACAGTGGGCTCTCAGTACTCTGAAAGCGGCAGTACAACAGAATTTAGAAGGTGCAAGAAAACATTATGAGACATACGGTATATATAACATATATAATATTATACCTTTTCTTTATCATTTTATTTTTTATGAGAATTGATTTGGTCAGATATTTTGTTGTCTAGGGCTGTCATGGAAGAGCATAGAGAGACAGTTGTGATCATAGGCATGGCTTTGGGCTGAGTCAATATTTGGTCCCAAGAAATTTTGTTGCCAGTCCAATGGGAGAATGTTAACTAGAACAGAGTGATAAAGTTAAAAAGTAGAAAGAAGAGATTTAGGGTAAATCAAGGGTAAAGCAAGGTAATTTCTGGGAATAGTTTTGAAGAGGCTGTAGCTCAATTTTATTTGTCAATATTGTCCTGAAGTGTGTGTGAAGTCAAGATGGATAATTGTTATTTGACACTCTATTAAATAAAATCTTGTATAAGTGGTGTATTGATTAATCTAAGTTATTTGAAGAGCCTCAAATATCCTATTACCTTTATTTTAAAATGTCTGTATTTAACTTAGTTTGCTTATTAAATATCTTTTATTCTACCTTTTTCTTTAAAATGTAGTAAACCATGTATGTTAATATTCTACTACTAATATTTGAGTTACCTCTTCCATTATTATAGTCACAGAGCACTACTTTTTAAAAAGTTTGTTATTGATATTTTAATTAGATTATTAATTTTCAGTCGAAAAATATAATTGGCTTCTTGATGGGACTGCGGTTGAGATGATAGAGACTTTTCAAGCAGAAGATCATACTTTTGATGAGTACACAGAGGTAAGTGGTAATTCTCTATTCTATTAATGCCTCTTGAATTTTTTGTAAAATTAGGATATTTTTGTTCTGGAAAATGTTTGAATTAAATTAAATACAATTTCTTGTTCAGAACATTTTAGTAAAATTTACTGGTTCACTTTATAATTTCTTTAGTCATTTATTTACTCATTCATTGATTCAATAAAAATTTCCTTATCGAATTGAAATACGTAGCAAGATGTTGATGATGTGAAAATAAATGACATGTAAACACTGTCCTAAGGAGCTTTTATTTGGCCTGAAGGCCTAACAGGGAAATAACAACCGTATATATTGAGATGTGTACTAGAATGGAGATTCAGACAAAGTGTTATGAGAACACAGAGGGGGAATGATTGCTTTTACTTTGGGAAATTGGATAAATATTCACTAATTCACTTTTTCCACCATGCAAATAAGGAAACATAAGTTAGGCTTTGAAGTAGGTATTTATAAGTGAAGGGAAGGAATGTGGCATGAACAAAGACCAAAAATGTTCCAGGGTTGTTCAGAGAACATCAAATAAACCAAAATAGCTAAAAAATTGGTAACAAGAATACAGTAAATCACAGATTTAAAATGTGATGAAGTTGGAAATATATGTTGGAGCCGCATAGGAAAATCCTGTGGTATCTTTGGTCAGGAGTTTATACTTTGTGCTAAAGGTTTTTAGCTGTGATAGTAATATATTTGGATATGAGGTTTTTTTTTTTTTTTCACATGAAAAGTCTTTATTAATCCTCTTGTGAAAAATCTATACAATGGCTGCAGATAACATCACTGAAGAGTCTTTACTCCTTCGCCTTTTTGCCAGCACCAACATTAGCCTTTGTGGTGCCCCTGACTTTCTTCATTCTGTTCTTGCGTTCCTTTCGCTGCTTTCTTGATGTCTTTTTCTTCTCATATAGGCCATGCCTTGCAAGTCTATGTTTGGGTTCATTTTTCTTTGCATAATCCAAGGAATCATAAAACATGCCAAAGCCCGTTGTCTTCCCACCACCAAAGTGAGTTCTGAATCCAAATACAAAGATGACATCAGGTGTGGTCTTGTACATTTTGGCTAGTTTTTCTCTAATTTCTGTCTTTGGCACTGTTGCCTTCCCAGGGTGAAGGACATCAATGACCATTTGTTTCCTCTGAAGTAGTCGGTTAGTCATGAACTTCCTGGTCCGGATAGTTACTGTGTCGTTCATGATGGCGGGTGATCGTTGGGCAGCCAGGGAGGAAGAGGCTGGATATGAGTTTTAGAAAGATAATTCTGATAGTGGGGCTAGGAGGAGTTGGAGGAGGAAGCAACTGTATGAGAAAATCTACCTCCTCAAGGGACTTTATTCCTTAAAACTAGTCTTATATTTCTTCATCTTCTCCCTTTATGTTGACTGTTTAGATTTTATTTTTAATGTACAATTTATAAATTTTAGCTTTCTAATATTTTATTATGAAAATTTTAAACATACAGAGAAGTTGAAGAAATTTTACAAAGCATACCATTTAGATTCTAGTGTTTTACTGTATTTGCTTAATCACATATATATTAATTCTATTTTTCATCTTTTATTTCAAGAACAATTAAATTTAAAAGTCAAATTTATTGAGGTTTAGTTTATCTACAGTAAAATATATTCATTTTAACTGTAAAGTTAAATATGAGTTTTTTATTTTATTTTTATTTTTGAGACAGTTTCATTCTATTGCCTTGGATAGAGTGCCATGGCATCATAGCTCAGAGCAACCTCAAACTCTTTGGTTCACGTGATCCTCTTGCCTCAGCCTCCCAAGTAGCCAGGACTACAGGGACCCACCACCATGCCTGGCTAATTTTTCTATTTTAGTCTTGCTCCTGCTCAAGCTGGTCTGGAACTCCTGAGCTCAAGCAATCCACCCACCTCAGCCTCCCAGAGTGCCAGGATTATAGGTGTGACCCACCACTCCTGGCTTAAATATGAGTTTTGATAAATTTACATAATCATGTAACCATCACTAGAATCAAGATAGAGAATATTTTTATCATCTTAAGAAGTTTGTACACTATCCTGGTCAATTTTCTACAACATTGACCTTAGGCAACTGCTGGCTTGCTTTCTGTTACTATAGATTCAATTTTTCTTTTCTAAAGTTTCATATAAATAGAATAATACCTATGTACTCTTTTACACCTGGTTTCTTTTATTAGCATATTTAAGATTTATCTATGTTGTGCATATTGGTAGTTTATTCCTTTTATTGCTGAGTAGTACTTCACTATATAGATATATAACATGCATATTCTCCATTTGATGGACATTTGGGTTGTTTCCAATTTTTGACTGATATGAATAAAATTCTTTTGTATACAAGGTTTTTTTTTTTTGAGACAGAGCCTCAAGCTGTTGCCAATGGCATCACAGCTCACAGAAACCTCCAACTCCTGGGCTCAAGTGATTCTCCTGCCTACGCCTGCCAAGTAGCTGGGACCACAGGCACCTGCCACAATGTCAAGCTATTTTTTGGTTGCAGCCGTCATTGTTGTTTGGCAGGCTCTGGCTGGGGATTCAAACCCGCCAGGTGTATGTGGCTGGCGCCTTAGCCGCTTGAGCCACAGGCGCAGAACTGTTTACAAGTTTTTGTGTGTATATACGTTTTCATTTCTCTTTCTAGGTATGGGATTGCTGGATGGTATAGGAAGCATCTATTTAACTTTTTTTTTTTTTTTTTGAGGCTGAGTCTCATTATGTCACTCTCAGTAGAGTGCTGGTGGCATTATAGCTCACAGCAACCTCAAACTGTGAGGTGCTGGTGGCATTATAGCTCACAGCAACCTCAAACTTTTTGAGACAGAGCCTCAAGCTGTCCCCCTGGGTAGAGTGCCATAGCATCACAGCTCACAGCAACCTCCAACTCCTGGGCTCAAGTGATTCTCCTGCCT